CGTCTTTTTTCTAGCTAACAACGTCAGGGCCTACCACTGCCTAGACAGTGTCAGGTCAACTCACCCCCTGACCGACTCGCCCCTTACCGACTCGCTCCTTTCCAACTCACGCCCTCGTAAACTCGCCCCCTGACCGACTCGCCTCTTACCAACTCGCCTCCTAGCCAACTCACCCCCTGACCGACTCACCCCTGACCAACTCGCCCCCTGACTGACTCGCCCCCTGGCCGACTTCCCCCCTGACTGACTTGCCCCCCTTGGAACGTCAAGCAAATATGGCCGGCCCAATGTATTTAAAAAAAAAAAACAATGGTTCTAACCAACGACGCAACACGAACGACTCACTGACGGTGATGGATATTTGGACATCACCACTAATCACTTACAAGTCGGCTAATCTTGTTGTAGTGACCCTGATATCCAGTTCTGTTGTTGTTATGTACCCAGTTCAGACAAGCGCTGGCAGAGTCGACCCAAAATGTTTAAAATTATTTTCATAATATTTTTGGGAGTGATTTCAACTCGTGATATTCGTATTTTTCTTCCTTTGTTTGGAATTAAATATCTTTGAGAGTGTTTTTAATTTCTTTCGTAGTAACTTAATGTATATTCTTCCGGTAGCTTTTTTAATTAAACAATGTGATGTAGTTGAGAAGACATTCCAATCTTGTCAATTTCCTTTTGGTGTTTCCCTATCTAGTTATACCTGACTAAAATAATTATAACTTACCCCCTTTGTCATAAATCATGTCTCCTTAACACTTCCATAGGTTTGCGTCGCCGGACATTATGCCTTATTTGTACCATTCTTTTATCCGAAATAGTCCGCAAAGTTAATTAATATGGTAGAGTGTGGGTGTTGTGGCGCACAAAATCCCATAGACAATACACATGAAACGCTGCGCCATGGCCCATACACACGATAATACTGATTAGTTTTACCAATATCAAAAAAATATTGTTACCCCCAAAGTCCACAGAAAGGGAATATCCACCAAGCTTCAAACATTTTAACTATCATAATTCTCAACCTTGAGTGCCTGCTGCAAACCCCAGAACCCATCTTTAAGCGCAACAATCACCGATTCCATCTCTGACTGATTGTGTTTTTTATTAAATGGTGAATGGGCCGGCCATACGTGCTTTGCGCTTGGGGGTGCAGTGTCCCAATTCAAGGAAAATTCTCCGCCAGGCCGAGGCGCACAAAAAGTACCCCCAGAGATTGTTTCGAAAAGAGGGGTCTGTTTGGGCCAAGAAATGGTGGGATTGAGTCAGTATGGCCCAGGATCATCTCTGTAGATTCAAGGGCACCCATCTGGGGGCAAAGCAGACAAAAATGGGATTGAAAATTAGTCAGAACATGAAAGAAGGACACAGAAGGAGCTTGAACTGCCCAGGCTATAACATCTGGCTGATTACCACTTTCTGCCATGCCCGGTATGTCCATAGCCAGAGCGCAGCGCACGCCTGCTATCCACCACCTCTTTTACAACCATAAGCTCCCTTTGTACCCCATGATCGTCGCCGCAATTTTTCGTTGGTAATCTGCATCCCTAAAACGTTGTGTACTGCAGTATAGGAAGTTGAATATTCATGCCATCGTTGGTGCTTGATATGAACCAACAACATCATCAAATGTAGTGTTTGCGCATTTGCTTTTATTAGGCTGTATACTCGAAGTGTTCATGTGCAGTTGTTGCACTTCTCGAACGCTTTCTGCTGGACTTCTTTTAGGAATTAATAGCCAAGCTGTTGGTAAGATTTTGTGTTTTGTTTGAATCATTTTTATTATGGCATTTGTACAAAGGCATATTTTATGCAATTTCACGATCACTCCTTGTGATGAAATAGCTCATTTTGTTGCTAATGAACTAAGCTTTCCAGTAA